ATAAATAAATAATAAAAACACAAGAGAGCAATCCAAACAGTACCTTCCTGGACAAAGAGCTGAAGACAAGAAACTCGATGCTCGTATCTAACCCACAATCTGTAATAACCATAATGGTTGATTTTCTAGGATAAGCACCTAGAAATTTTGTTATTAGTGTGGGATGTGGTGATGGCTTACGGACAGGCTCTTCCTAACCAGGAAGATAAAACGGAGAATGTTATTTCTATGTGGGCAACTAACCGAACTGCACTACAAAATCCCTAAATTCTTAACCTAGTCTTCTCCAGACCCTCAAATTTTAAAGCCGTATACGGCAACCTGGTTTGGCAGAACTGGGATTAGAGGCACAATTTAAACCTCCCGCTGTTCCAAAGACTTTCTGGGCTTAGGAGCAGTTCCTTTCGTTTCCTGAGCCTACGCTTTTTCTATCTGAAGATTCAATATCGAATTGCCACAAAACTGTTTAATGGTACTGTTTCTTGGGAATTACTTCTATCGGTCTGATGGATGTGGGCAAAACTGAATTTTGAAATTGAAAATGAGGGCTTTTACAATCAGAGAAAGACAATTATCATATGATCTCCCTGATAATGAGGAAGTGGAGACGCAACGTGGGGGGCTTGGGGAGTAGGAAAAGAATAAATGAAACAAGATGGGATTGGGAGGGAGACAAACCACAAGACACTCTTAATCTCACAAAACAAACTGAGGGTTGCTGGGGGGAGGGAAGTAGGGAGAGGGTGGCGGGGTTATGGACATTGGGGAAGGTATGTGCTATGGTGAGTGCTGTGAAGTGTGTAAACCTTGCGATTCACAGACCTGTACCCCTGGGGCTAATAATACATTATACGTTTATTTAAAAATTTAAAAATTACAAAAAAGAAAATGAGGACTTTTAGAGAGGATTAAACATCCAGCTTTATATATATATATATATATATATATATATATATATATATATAGTATGTGTGTGTATTTGTGTGTGTACGTGAGTGACTAGGAATTCCAAACTTGTTACATTAACTGGCAGGATGAGAAGGGGCAGGAGGATGAGAAAGCCCCATCAAGGCATTTGGGCACAGGAACGGCAACTCCAGCTGTAGCCAGAATAGGAAATAAGGGGAAGAAGGCCAAAGTCACACAGCTGACTCTGGCTCTCAACCTCTAATACTTGAAGATATTAACCTGGAGGGACTTGTTAAATAAGATTCTTGGGCCCTGACTCAAAGGATTCCAACTCATGAGGACTGGGGAGAGCTCAGGAACCTGCATTTTTACGAACTCCTTAGGTAAGTCTGCAACAAGTCTACTTTGGAAAGTCTTCCACAGGGGCTCGAGCCCTGGCTGGCAATTAGTGTCACTGGTATCCAGCAAGGAATGGTCTCTTGGCATCAGCACAAAACCACGTGAGTAGCCGTGAAGAGGTTTGAGATTCGGGTAGGCAGGCTAACAGGTTGAATTAGTGCCCCAGGGCTGCCGTAATAAATTATCGCAAACTGCGTAGCTCAAAACAACAGAAATTTATTCTCTCACCGGTCCAGAGGGCAGAAGTCCTAAACCTGGGTGTCGGCAGGGCTCTGCTTCCGCCACAGGCTCTGTGGAAGATTCTATCCCTTGCCTCTTATGGCTTCTGGTGGCTGCTGGCATTTCCTGACTTGGAGCTGCTCGTTCCAGTCTCTGCCTCCACCTTCTCAAAGTCTCTCCTCCTCTGTGTCTTTCCTCTGGGTGTCTCTTACAAGGGTATTTGTCATTGGATTTATTTGTCGTGGGACTTTGGGCTCACCCAGGTAGTTCAAAAGGATCTTGAGATTCTTGACTTAATTACATCTGCAAAGATCCTTTTTCCAAATATGTTCACACTATGGGTTCTAGGGGTAAGGAAAAAGACATGATTTTTTGAGAGGCCACCATTCAAACCAACTATGCAGGCCCATTTTGTAACAGCTAGCTGCCTGGGCCACTGTTGAAGCAAGAGAAAGGGGGTGCTGATTGGCAAGAGCAGTTTGGCTCTAGTCTAGATCAGTCTGACCTTCCAGAGAAGGATAGGAAGGCTCAGACTTAGGAGCTAGCCAAGAGCCACTGAGATGGGAGTGGGACAAGCAGCAGAGATGACTTTATTACCCTGAACTTCTGGGTCGGGATTCCAGAATCCCTACTAACCAGAACATGCCTACTCTGGGACAAAGCTAAGCTGCGTGGCCAGTGGACATCCAAGGGCAAAAGGGAAGATTTGAGGCTGGGAGTCAGACTGGACTCCACAGAGCTACAAAGCACAGTCACACAAATAAACAGAATCATAAATAGCTCCCACTTATCGAATGCCTGCTATGCTATACGCCCGGTGCTTTACATTTATTATTGCCTCTTTCATCATGACCTTGTAATATGGGCACTGCAATAGGAGTTCCCAGAGAACATAAGAGAAAACAGGCTTTTAGAGATTAAAGTTATATAACTAGTAAGTGGCTCCAAAGCCCGTTATCTTTCTACCAAAACATGCTCCCTGTCCACAAATCAACAGCCTACCTCAAATTTTAGCATCTTATTTTCTGCCGTGAGACCTAAAAGGACAAAACGTTTGCTTTCTACCAAATACCCTACATTAAAAATATAATTTGGCTAAAGGAGAAGGATGTCAAAGCTTTCTAAACCAGAATCACCAGTGTGGATATGGATTGTGAACACAGTCCTCTGTGAATGTCAACGTAATAACTCGCTGGGTGCTCTAGCTGGGATTTTGCATTCAGTTCCAAACCCTGGGCTTGTCTCTAATCATGAAAATGCAGGTCCGTCACGACTCCCCCACAACCCTCACTGCCACCACCACAAGCATGCCGCCAGCCATGTCCCACAGCGGGTAATATCCACGTAGTTACAGTACTAGGGTTCTCCTTAGTGACCTACGGTGGAAAGCAGCATCCATGGAACAGAATCAGGGAAACTGCTAATACATTACACCTCTAGTCCAGAAGAATTGATGCCCTCTGAGTACCATCTAATCTGCCCTAAAGAGAGCGTCAGTTTTATGATAGGTGTAGTAAATGTTTGGGGACTAGGACACGTGTCCTCAACTAGCTGGCACGCAAGCGCAAAACCTTCCTGAGCCAGAGGCCAGGTTTGACCAGGTAACAGGACTGAAGTATTAAGGAGTCCGAGCCTCCATTGACCTATCTGTCCAGGCCTTTCATAATACTGAGTATATGCGTTTTTGGAAATTATTATTAATAATAAGAATCATAACAATAATAAAGTTTTGGATCCGGACACGAAGAATCGCAACCCTCATCACCCCGTGAACACCAGCTTAGCGGCTGTTTTGTACAATTCTCAGCGACTGTAATGGTAAATAACGACTGATACGTACACCTTTCCCCACACTCCTGCAGGGGTCCCTTTTCCTGTCCAGTCTCACAGGGGCAATCTTCGATTCCCCTTCCATACAGAAGGACTTCCATACAGAAGTCCACTCGGCCGTGTAGACTTCTGGGCACCGCTTATGGTATGCTTAAAAAAAAAAAAAAAAAAAGTCTTTAAAAATGTTTTGGAATGAGTCTCGATCGTCGCGTTTGCTTTCTGACGGAGAACTTGGTAGGAAACCGAGATTGTCAAGCGCCGGTGTCTGGGCGCGCAGCGTTGGCTGGGAGCAAGACGTCATCGTGGGAAGCGTGCACTTCTTCGGGTTCCTGCCTGGCGGATTGGAAACCCGCAGATCAGCCCTAGGTTAGCCCTGATTAAATGCCCTGGGTGCTCCTGGGCCGAGAGGGGTCGAGGGGGAGGGGCGTCCTCGGGACTCAAACCAACACTCGTGGTAAGCTTTCGCTCCAAACCTTGCAGAGTTAATTGTCACTTCGACCCCCATCCAGGCTCCTAATGAAGCCACCAGGAAGGATCTGGAATGCTAACTCAAGTGGTGCCCGCAATAGCGTCAGCCGAACCTTCTGCCCCCACGATCCCGTCTGCCCACATGCTTCTGTCGATCAGCCTGGGCCTCGGGATCAGCTCTCGCCGCGGCATTGGTTGGAATTCAGGAAAAGAGAAACCCACGATTTAAAGGGCTCCGTGCCCACCTGCCGGGCATCGTCCGCGTGGTCCAACTTGCCTTTGGAACGTATTTGGGAGAACCTCCAGCTCGTGCACATCTACTACACTGACTGGCCAGAGGAAGGAGAATTCGGGCGAGTGTCCCCTTGGTCACCTTGACGATTTCTAAAAGCGAAACTTGCGCTCCAGACCAGATCCTCACTGAGTCTGCGGGGCGCTGAGCGCCTGCCCAGGTCAGCAGCCCCCGCCCGACGCGCGGGCGGGGACCGGGCGGAGCTTGGACAAGGCGTGGTTTTCCGTGGGAGAGAAGGAAAGGCTTGGCCCCACCTCCTAAAAACCCTGCTCTCCCCCGACCAATCAAGGAGACTTATGCAAATAGAGCCTCTGTAGCCCCGGTAACCATGATGCACGGTGGCCAACGGAAACCGGCAAGTCACGGCCCTGCGCCGCGATTGGGAGTTAAGTAGGGAGGCAGCGGCCCAATGGGCTGTGGGAACGGGCCTCGGCGCGTTGGAGGGCGGGGATATGCAAATATGGTTTGAAAAGCCGGCGGGAAATCTGAGTTTCGCGGGAGGACCTTGGCGCGTAAACCGTATCCCTTCATTCATTGTCAGCAGCAGCTTCCTGGAGCCATTTTTCAGCTGCCGGCCGCAGCACCCGGGCTGCCGCCGCCGCCTCGCAATCCGTTGCATCGGCCGCCCCCGACGCCTCCATCTCCCCTCGGGGCCCGATATCCGTGCGGCCGGGACCCTCCTCTCTCCAGAGCCCCGATTATTTTTGGCCCCCGGGGCCCGTGCGGTGCGGAAAAATAAAAAGAAAAGAGAGAGAAGGGGCTCGGAAGCGCCGGGCGGGGAGGAGAGAAGGAGGAGAGACTTGGAAACTCCGACTGCAAATAATAAAGAAATTGAAAACAATACATTAATATACCATAGCAATAAAAAGAGCAGGAGCGAGAGATGAGAAAGGGGATCCAGCCCGCCCTGGAGCAGTACCTGGTGACCGCCGGGGGTGGGGAGGGGGCGGCTGTCGTCGCCGCCGCCGCTGCAGCCTCCATGGACAAAAGGGCACTGCTAGCCAGCCCCGGCTTCCCCGCCGCCGCCGCCGCCGCCGCTGCCGCCCCGGGCGCGTACATCCAGATCCTCACCACGAACACTTCCACCACCTCCTGTACCTCCTCCCTCCAAAGCGGCGCCGTCGCCGCCGGCCCCCTCCTCCCCAGTGCCCCCGGCGCGGAGCAGACCGCCGGCAGCCTCCTCTACACCACGCCGCACGGACCCTCCAGCAGAGCCGGGCTGCTGCAGCAGCCACCAGCGCTGGGACGCGGCGGCAGCGGCGGCGGCGGCGGCCCTCCGGTAATGCCCTCCCGTTCCCACCGTCCCCAGCCCGGGCGGGAGGTGGGCTCGCAAGGCGCGGGGTGGTGGGCGCGCTGCGGGCCGCCCCGGGACAGCGCGGGGCCATGCGGCGTGGGCCTCGGCGGCTGCCCCTCCAACTGGGTTTTATTGTTAGACTTGTGCACTCCCCCCTGCGCCCGGAGGGTCGGGGGGCTCCGCCAGGCGCGCGGGGCAGCGGGGAGTGCCTTGGCGCGGACCACGTCAAACACTCCGAAACTTTTTGCGGCCCCCCCCCTTCTTTTCCTGCACTTTTCCCTACCCCCACCCTCCCCTCCCCTCCAACTCGAAGCTTCCTCTTTCTCGGGCGTAGGAAGGGGTCACGCCCCGGATGGAGAAGGGGGTGGGGGAGGGAGGCGTGAACTGGGGAGTGGGGGACTCTGGGGGCTGGAAACCCGGAGACTGTTGGGGTGATGGCCCCCCGCCGGCCTCGGAGGCCCGTTGGCTGCCGGGGGTCCCTAAGGCGTGCTCGGGGCGCAGGGGCTCTGCCATGCGGCGCTTGACACATTTTGGGATCTGTAACTCCCGGCAACAAAGGGGCTGGGGGAGGCGGAGAGGGGTGGCGGGGGAGGTGGGGCTGGAAGCCGGGTGCTAGCTGGGGCGTGGGCTGTCCGGGGGTGAGGGACTCGCGGCCAGGCGCCCCGGCCTGGGCGCATCCTAGCGGCGGCCGCGGCGGCGCCCGCGTGGCCCGAGCGCCCGGGCCTTCCTCGCCGGGCCCCGGGCCTGCCCTTGCCCCGCCTCTCCCCTTGCCCCTTCCTTCCCCGCCCTGTCCCCCTCCCCGCCCCCCGGCGACGGAGGGCGGGGGCAGCCGTGTTCCCGTCCCGCCGCCTGGGTCTGTCCCTCTCCCCGGGCCCCGCCGGTGACGTTTCGCACACGTGCGCGGAGGACGCGCCTGTGACTGGGGAGGAGGCGGCGGCGGGAGGGGGCGCTGGAGGGGGAGAGGGGGGGCACCCACTTCCTCCTGCTCGCCGGCTCCCTGGCCTGGGACGGTCCCGGCGCCCTCGCACCCGCCCCCGGCACGGCCACCCTCCTTCTGCTCTCCCTAACCCCCCCCCCCCCGCCACGGGCGCCCGCCCTCGCCCGGCGCCGCCGGTCTGTTCGGCCCTCCGGGCCCCCTCTCCAGCCGGCCCCCCCCCCCACCTCCCCCGGAGCCAGGCTGGTTTCGGAAATGCCCTTACAGCAGCAGGTTAGTGACCGGGACGGCTCGGGGGCTGCCGCCGCCGCGGGGGCACCGGATTCTGTTGGGGGCTGAAGCCGTGGGGGTAGGCGGTTGAGCGGGGTTTTGGAGTGGGAACGGGGGGTTGGGTGCTTGAGGGAAATGAGTAAGCAAGAAAAATCTAACTAAGTAAATGCCCCGGCCTCCGGTTCTAGGAGCCTCGGGCCGGGAGTGTCCGCCCCAGGGGGTGGGTATGGTGTTTACGTGTATTTTTTTCCCAGGGGGCCGATGGATGGGCGATCGAAAAGCGAAGGGGGGGGGCTTCTCGCCAATGGCCGAGTTGAGCTCTGTTTTCTGTCTTGCTTCCCTTGTGCTGGAGGGGGAGGGGGGCGGGTCAGAGGGTAGGGTGTCTGTAGGATTCCCAGGCCACCCGCCACCCCCTCCCTTTGTCCCTGTAATTTATAAAGCGCCTTTGAGAGATGATTTAGGTCAGTATGCGGCTTCTCTTTTTGTTGATACTAGAAAGAAGTGTGGCCCGGAGGTCTCTCCCCTTTCTCCCTTTCTCTCTCCTTCATTCCCTTCCTCCATGCCTCCTGTCTTCACCCTCGTGGTGAGGCTGGCCCCCACGAGGCTAGAAACGAACCCGAGTCGCCTGTGGCTGATAATACCAGTCGTTGACCTCACCTTGTCTCGGTTCCAAATGGGTGTATTTTTTTTTTTTTGGAGAATCGGGATTTTGCAGGACTCTTTAAGGAAGTCAGCACCTAGACAGTACTTTGGGAAATGAGATGGACTGTGGGATAATGAAAATTTTGTAATTCCTTTACTCTTTCCAATTTCTCCCATGGTTGGATCCTAACTGCGTTCCAGCCCGGCGGATACTTGCTGAGGATGTGTGATATAGTCTCATATAGTCTCAGAGCAGCTCATCGTTTTTTAGTGACAAGGGTCTGCCAGCAGGGGGGAGGTAGAGTGCAGTGCCTGCTCATGTACTGTATCCAGGATGCTGGATCTCAGGCACAAGAATATTCCATGCTTTTAGCATTAAATACTGTTAACTTCGTCTGACCACCTCAACACGTTTAGCATATTTTTTTCAAGCTTACTGGCCCCTTACACAGTTCTCTTACTGTATTATAAACCTAATCTGAAACAGCCCGCTATTGACATGTTTCTTGGATTGCATTCAGATTTATGGAAGAGTAGTTTTGATAATGGGAAATTATGAGACCACCAGATTGCTGGGTTCTTTTTTTTTTTTTGAATCTTAGCCTGCTTGTCAAGGCTCCAAAACTGTCTAGCCAAACTTACATGTAGTTCATTGTCTTTAAAGTATAAAAACGATCCTGTCTTCCAAGTTATTTCAAAACTTTTTCTTTCTTTCCATGAGATTATTACTCCAAAGCCATGAGCGCTGAAGATAAGGTTTGAGTTTCTCATCAAAATTATATTAGACTTTTATTTAAGTCTTGAAATTTTGTTCATCTTCTTTCCCTGAGGCAGAAGATAGCTTGGGGATAGCTAAGTGATTGGCTGAGCACAGAAACCATGTAAACACTTTGTGTCCAAGAAGAGGTTGAGAACTCTGTTCTGCTGGCCAGATTTGCAGACCCACCTGGTTCCAATTCTCAAGGACGTGTAACAACTTTTTACGGGAACAGATCCTCACCTTTTTTTAGTGGGAGAAAATATATGAGTACTCCTTACTAGCTATCTTGCTGCTATTATTCACAAGTTTTATGATCTTAGGCAAATCAGTTAATTTCTGCAAAGCTTTCCTCTTCTGTAAAATAGGAACAATAGCAAGGTTAAGACTGAGGTTCTTTTTTCTTTTGAAGGGTTCAGTATGATAATGCATGTAATACTCTTCACACAGTGCCAGGCAAATAGATATCCAACAAAATCAGCATTCAGAAATGTTATTTCTTTTATAACTTATAGAAATAGTGCAAGACTTTGCATACACTCCCTTCTTTCCATATGAGAGTAAAAGGGTTGAAAGTTTTCTAAGGTGATATGTAATTAACGATACCGAATTCATTTGGTTGTTTTTTTTTTTTTAAGATTTTATTTATTTATTTGACAAAGATCACAAGTAGGCAGAGAGGCAGGCAGAGAGAGAGGAGGAAGCAGGCTCCCTGCAGAGCATAGAGCCTGATGTGGGGCTCGATCCCAGGACTCTGGGGATTGTGACCTGAGCCGAAGGCAGAGGCTTTTTTTTTTTCCCCCTAAGATTTTATTTATTTATTTGGCAGAGATCACAAGTAGGCAGAGAGGCAGGCAGAGAGAGAGAGGGGGAGGCAGGCTCCCCGCTGAGCAGAAAGCCTGATGCGGGGCTCAATCCCAGGACCCTGGGATCATGACCTGAACTGAAGGCAGAGGCTTAACCCACTGAGCCACCCAGGCGCCCCTCATTTGGGTTTTTAAATCCGCAGAACCTGGCTCTTGAACCATGGGTAAAACAGGGACATGTCCGTAGGACAGGACTATACAGAGATAGTGTTCAACGGCCTGTACATGATCTTGTGTCCCGAGTGGTGATAAATTTAGATCAACTCATCCTCACTTTTTCGCGGGGCCTCCACCTCTCCCCTGACCCCACGGACCTGCTCCCTTGGGGGTGCCGTCTGTGCCCCCTGGCTTTCAGCTGTCAGCAAGGCCGAGTTGTGCTCCAGGTAACCTCATTTTCAGCGGGTGGACCATGGGAGATGGGAGCGCTGTCGAGGACCGGAGCCAGAGTGCTATTTTCTGAAGCAGAAGGGGCTTCATCATTTTCCACCTCTTCTAAAAAAGCAGGTGCAATTTATTTCATCCTCCTCCTAGAAAATTTGGGATGTATTCATGCGAGAGACTAGTAGCCTTTCACATCTGATTTAATTTAAAGCAGTCACAGCAGCCTCCTGATTATACTTGGGGAAAGAACCCACAGCACTTGAAATCTCGGTGTGGGAATGGGCAAACCAGAGATGCTGTCGCTGGGTCTGCTTTTTCCTGTGCAAGTATAAAAGAAAAACGCCGGGTTCCTGTGGTTCTATACTCAATAATCTTGCTTCTGCTGAGATATATGGTTGGTGCCAAGTTTAAACTAGGAGAGAATTTTTAGTCACTACATACCCCAAAAGGGAAGTTTTAACATAATGCAGTGCCCAGACTTGGGCAGTACAAATAGCTCCTCTATAATCAGTACCAAGGGTGCCCCTCTAATCATCCTCTGAAACAAAGCACCCTTAACTGTGCCACTGTGAGCCAAGGAACCCAAGCTCGCGAACAGGAAAGGTTTTTTTTTCCCCCCCTTAAGTCGTCACCTTGTGTAACTCTTGGAAGAGTAGATTCTGAGATTAATGTTGTGCGGTGTAAAGCTAACTTGAAAACAGAAAATAATACTCAAAGCTTAGGCGTGAATAAACAGCAGCACCTGGAGATTTAAAGGCTGGAGGGGAGTGGAGGTGGGGAGTTGCTGTTTTCTCATTTCTCAGAGATCTCAGGCAGTAGTTTTCTTTAACCTTTTGTGTCTTGGGGCGCCAGGGTGGCTCAGTTGGTTAAGTGTCCCACTCTTGATCTCAGCTCAGGTCTTGATCTCTGGGTCATGAGTTCAAGCCCTGTGTTGGGCTCTACACTGGGCTGGGCACGGAGCCTACTTTAAAAACAAGACAAATGAAACCTCTTCTGTCTTGATTGCCTTTCCTGAAGATATCCCACCCGTGCCTTCAACCCCCTTTCCATAGGACTGGGACCCATTTGGCAAAGCTTCAGATATCCATCGTTCGTTTTTCTGATTTTCCAGGATTTACTTGTCCTCCATTTGTCC